CAAACCTTCCAAAGAGTTCTTCTGTCTTACAACATTTAGATTACCCACATAACTCTAAATAATACTATATAGAAAATGTTAATTGTCATCGGACTCATTCTTAGAATTGGAAGCCTAACTACTTCAGTTTATTTAAGTGTATTTAGACAAGGCAGGTAAATAAAAAATACATAGTTTCATATGTGTTGAATTTTTCAACAATATTTTTTATTTTTACTAACTGTATTTGATATTACCTTTGTATCTCAGGAAAAATATCTATTTTTTTCCAGCATAGTAAACATTAATAGCTTTGAATGTCTGTCTTCTTTTGAATACAGAATGGTCAAGATAGCAGTAACTCATTTCTGTGCTTTGGTAGCTAGGCAAACCATCATTGTCAGAAATGCTCATCTACATTTTGGAGCAGTTTGTGCTGAAAGCTATGAAAAATAATGAAATAATCATTGTCCTTACTCTCTGGTCATTTTATCCTTGGACATATACAATATGTCTTTTTGGAGTAAAAGATGATTAGATTTTGTTACTATCTAGTCTTTGCTGCAGAAAATGACTTTTAATGAAGCTTATATATAAAAATTAAAATGAAATAGTTTTATTTAGAATGAATCTGGAAATTATTAAAATTGGTTGCATAATCAATTGCTGTAATTACAAGCTTTTCCTTCTGACCTTAACAATTCACTTCTATTTCCTCAGTTGGGTCTTTGTCCTAAGGGAAGTTAATGGGTGAGAAAACAAACAATGCAAATATGCCATCCCACTAGAGAGCTCTAGGCCCAAGCAGAATTTTCTCTGTGGTGTCAGGACATTAGTAGAAAAGTAAATCAAGGCAATCTGATAGGGAGCCAGAATTCTGTCAATCAGGCTCAAGATTTTGTGCTGTGTCCATAAACTTTGTTTACTGTAGGGTTTTATGAGTTGTAACCTGCCCTTGCAGTCTGTTAATGAGGCTAAATCTTGCTACTTGAGAATTGAATTACAGCACACCTCTGGGCTAATGGTTATAAACAGAAAGTCCCATTAGGGCTGCATTCTGACTTGTTCATTTGCATTTTTTCTATTGTTTAGAGAACAATGATGGGTAAATAGGTACAAACAAACAATTTACATGGAAATTGATGAAATGTCCCTAATTAGTATTTAGAGTTGGTTTTATTAATAATTGCTTTAAGTTGTACTCTTGGTCAGCTCTTAGAAACATTTACAGATGGGAATTGAGGAGGAGGAGGAGGAGGAGAAGGGGGTGGGCTTGGGGAAGGTGGCAGCTTGTGAGAAGAAATGAGTTTCCCATTTCATATTCAGAAGTGTAGAATCATTTATTTCATTTTAACAGATGAACTAAGATCACAACATCTTAGTCTGAATCACCAAATTCCAGCTCTGCAAGAAGTTATTATTCACACAGTAAAATAAATTTAAACCTAGTTGCCTGAGACATATCCAATAATGGTTTTTATTAGTGCTCTTAATTTTTCTTAACTTTGAAAGATGAAAAAGTTTAGTAAAAGCTCACTTTCCCTCAGTTGGTCATGTTAATTTGATACTTTTGGGGGATCAAATAGTTTGGTGGTTCAGAGCAAGGGCTGGCTCTGTAGTCAAGTAGACCTGAGCTGGACTCCTGGCTCTGACATCAGTTCTAATAGTGTGATCTTGAAACTCTAAATCTAAGTATTCTCATTGAGGTTGTGAAAATTAAATAAGATCATGCATATGAAGGACTGGACTTATCACATAAGAGATCAAGAAATCTCAGCAGCCCTAACTAGTTTGGCTCAGTGGATAGAGCATCAGCCTGCGAACTCAAGAGAACCAGGTTCAATTCTGGCCAAGGGCATGTACCTTGGTTGCAGGCACATCCGCAGTAGCGAGTGTGCAGGAGGCAGCTGATCGATGTTTCTAACTCTCTATCCCTCCCCTTCCTCTCTGTGGAAAATCAATAAAATATATATTTTTAAAAAGGAATATCAGCAGCCATCACCAAATTCACCATTATCAAGCCTATATTTCTTTATATTCTAGTATCTTTTCCAAGTTCAGAAATATTAATAGTGTACTGAGCATTTTTGTATATTATTCTTACATCGTCATTCTCACCTTTTTTTTTTTTTTTTTTTTTTTTTTTTTTGTGTGTGTGTGTGTGTTTGTTTTCATAACTCAATAAAATGACCAGGTCAGTTGTCCTGACTCTCCTACCTTCTGAATTTGCTTGGCTGCTTCTGTGCTATATCATCATGTTTCTCTATCCCCTGTTTATTATAAACTGGAAATTATATATAAAGGCTTAATGGATTCGCTTTAAATATTTGGAATAGACTATTCTAGGTGGTGTGCACTTCATGTTTCACATCAAAAAGCATAAAATGGTTGACCCAATATTACTGATGCAAAAACTACATTATTGGTCTGTAATCCTTGATCTAGTTCTGATCTTTCCATTCACAATTAGGTTTTCCCCTTGCTACTAGAAAATAATCTGTGTGGTATCAAGCATATTTTCCATTACTATTGCTGTGTAACTACCCCAAACTTAGTGATATAAACAATTGTTTTTTGCTCACCGATTCTGTGAGTCAGGACTTCGGACAGGGCATGGTGGGGATGTTTGATCTCTGTTTCTTATTGTCTGTGGCCTCGGCTAAAAGGACTTCAGCATTGGGGGTGCATAGAATAGGATGACATAAAATGGCTTAAGACTGAGATCATGTGAAGGCTTCTTCCTTACATGTCTGGTACTTCGGCCTAGAAAACTCAAGGCAGAACTTTGGGACTGTGGACTGGAGCACCTGCATCTAATTTGATGTACAGATTTATTAACTTCTAACATTTACTTTAGTTGATTATTCCCTTTTCATGAAAGCTTCTTCAACTTCACTTCCCAAATGCAACATCTTTACTCAGATGGCCTGCCAGCCTTTCAATCCCAGTCTCTCTTATCCCCAGCTTCCTCTCCTGCCTTCCTTATACAGGAAGTAGTTTCTTTAGTTTTTCTATTTGTATTCTTAGCGCCGCCATTCTAAACTTCTGAGTCAGCTTTTTTTCTTCCCTCCATATCTAATTAGTTTCCAAGAATTGGTACAGATATCAATTCTACCTCCAACATATATATTTTACATTTGTCTATTTCCATTCTCGTCACCATCGTAATTCTAGATTTCATTACAACTTCCTTGGACTATTATAGTAGCCTCTCAACGAGTCTCTTCAGTCCCTTTATGTCATCCTATCCTATGCACTGTTGTCAGATTAACCTTTCTCAAATATATCTCTGATTAGTCACACACAAAACCAAGCACTTATTATAGTTGACCCTCAGTTTCTTTACAGTAAAAATAAAGTACTTCACCCTGTTGGACAGGGCTTTTACACTCTATATAGCTTCATTTTTCTTGCCTTGTCATTCTGTCAGTTTTTGCCCTATACTCAGAAAAACTAGACTGTACTTTCCCCAAAAAAGTACTTTCCTGCCTCAATGTCTATCCTGTACTTTCCTGTCTCAATGTCTTTCTATTGTTCCTACCTCCTAGTCTCTACTACACTGACTCACCTAACTACCAACTCCTATCTGTACCCATTTCAATCCCTGCTCATTCTGTAGGCCCAACTCAGAAACCATGATACCATGATCCTTCTGTTTGTTCCTCAGCCAACATGTTCTTTTGAACTCAGCTGTATTTTTATAAGACCTCTTTATTGTGGCTATTTTATCTTTCCCTTTATATTACTAGCTTTTGAGAGCCTTCCCTTTATATTACTAGCTGAATTATAAATTTCCATGTTTCAAATTTCTATAGCAAGTACCAAGTACTAAGGACCATAGATACAAAGATAAATCAAATATAGCTCCTGCCTTCAAGTAGCCCAATTCTACTGAGAAGGAAGCATTTATGCAGAGTTATAATGTAACTTGACAGGTATTATTTTAAAAAGTAATACACATCCACACACACTACTTTATTCCACTAGTAGGGAAGAGGGAACAATAGTTTGGAGAAGTTTAGTGGATTTAAGCTGAATCTTGAAGAATGAGTAGGAGTTAAATAAGATGAGAAAAGAACATTCCAGGAAGAGGAAATGACATATTCACATCCATGAAATTAGATGACACAAGCAATTCTATATGAATATATGTGAGCTTTAACGGAGGTGTTAAGGGAAGGTAATACTGCAAAGATATGTTAGGCCAGATTATTTCAGGCTTTGTTTTGCCGTAATAATACCTTATTTTACATACTTTCCCGTTTAAGAAGCAATTTCACTTTGGTTAAGTATGTTTCAAAATAACCCTTTTTAGTAGGCAAAAACTATGTGAGTTGTTTAATTCTCTGTAGTTTTTTTATTTTAAATATCAAAAACCACATTAGATTTTACTTTTTCTTTTCAGTGCTTCTGGGAGGAGAGAGAGTAGGAATGTGGATCGTACATCAGTTACCCAATTCTGATTTTGAAACTACCAAGAGCAATAGCTTGTGTAATTAATGTACTATTCCTATTCCCATTCCTACTTCAGTCCCCTAAAAATACCATTTCCTATATATTATCAACATGGTGTAGCAACATTTTTTGCTATCAAAGATGTATTTTAGTCAGTGCTCTATGTTTTTACTAGAAAATAACAAGTTAAATTCTATTCTTAAAAATAAGGTAGGTATTAATTGAAATTCTGTTTTTTAATATTATGACTCTTCTATAAGCCTGATTACTTAATTAATAATAGTTTCTGCTACTTCCTCAGTAATATATACTGCCAAACATTCTTTAGAGACTAGTTTGAATTTTTAACAAGACATTTTAATATAATAATTTTGTAAATTTTTTTTTTAAATCTGATTCTAGGATGTCTTTTAAAAATGGTGTGACATCCAACTGATATAGAGCATCCTATTTATAATGTGGGCCAAGCACCATGCTGTAAACCAGTTACTATCATGATGATCAGATTGAAAATGAAATTGCATTTCTGTCAATTACTGAGTTGGCAACTGTTCAATATATCTTAGCAGCAAGATGAAGAGCGACGTCGGCAGCTGAGAGAGAGAGCTCGTCAGCTAATAGCAGAAGCTCGATCTGGAGTGAAGATGTCAGAACTTCCCAGCTATGGTGAAATGGCTACAGAAAAGTTGAAAGAAAGGTCAAAGGCATCTGGAGGTGAGTTAAAGAAGCTTGTATCATATTCTACAAAAATCCACAGTAGACCTTTTGGAACTATTTATTCTTACTTCAAAATGTATCAAATACATAAAGTTTCTAACCTATTGATATGCTGCAAAAACCTAAATGAAGCATAGCAAATCAGTAGGTGATTGTTGCTGTTTTTAAGATCAACTTTTTGTCTTAATATTTAAGAATCCAAGGAGTATTTTCTTAGAATATGATTTAGAAGAAAACTCAGACACTGATTTGTCTGATGCCTTATTAATTGTTTTAGGAGTGAGTAAAATGCAATCAAGTCCTCAACATCTAGATCACAAGACTTGTTAGATGGGGAGTTTTGGCATGAAGGATTTTCACTCTGAACTAGATCTTTAGAAAGTAGCTTTAACAATGTTCTAGCATTATGGCCTGACATCTAAGAATTTTTAGTAAGTCCCATATCCATTTGTCTTAGTTTTCTTATCCTAAGATGGTTCTTTTCAATATCTACAGAAATTAGTCTAAACTTGTTGATGTTGGGACAAGGACTATTTATACTATAATTAAAGATAATTTTAATTTGCCCCTCAGTGCTCAATCTGAGCATCTTTAACTTGGAACTTTTTAGATTTTTATTTAAGTAGAGTATATTTAAGAAGCCTGTGGGGGTTTTTTTAATTTTAAAGATCTATAACCTATTTATCTAACAAAACATGTCAGGTAATTGTCCTGAGTTAGTCTTAGAATGCTAAGATCACTGTAAAGAGTAGGCAAATAAGGACTCAAATAAGACCTCAGAGAATTGAAAGAAAGGTAAGCTATTTCTAGGGTCAATGGTAAGTTTCTTCAGTGTAAACTGAAATGTACTGCTGTTATTCATAATTGATTCCTTATATTAGAAGCTTACTATTTTAGAGAATACCAACAGATGCCTTTAGCAAATACCCCTCCATCCCATAAATTTGAACGGTGCTTTTCCAAACAGCTGTGTATCTGTCCCTCTGGTCTTCTCAGTGGTTTGCACCTTAGTTAAATTCATCATCTTACCTTTTCAACTCCTATCATTCAGAAGTTTTATTGCAATTTCTACACTCTCTTCTAAAGTTTTATAGTAACATCAGTAACTACTCACAGCTTTATTTATATATTTATTATCAATAACAAGATTTTTTTTAATATTAGAAAAATTCTAGATATTCTAAGTGTCTGAAAATGTTTTGCCTCCTATGATAGGAAAAAAATCATGTTCTTGATCCTTCAGATAGACTGTCCTAATGCTACTAACCTTGCCTACCAGAGACTGTAGGAGAACAGTAATAATAGCATAGCATCCAAAGTCTCTTAAATTTTTTCCCTCAATAGTGAGCAACCAACAATGCTAAATGAGTTGTATACTCTGATAAAGCTAAGAATTAAATATTTTGATTGATGGGATGGGGTGGGTCAGCTATGTAATTTGTTTCATCTCTAGAATCAATCCAAGTTTAAGCTAAGTCAGGACATAACTAATTAAAGAGACTTTATCAGTGTTACAAACCCCCAAATGGGTATCTTTCCTACATAGTAGCTCGAGAAAATGAAGACCATGTTTTGTCATCATTAACAGTCTAAAAAGTAAATAAAGAACAAGTGAGGATTAGCTCTGCAAAGCTAGCAAAGAAGTATAGACTAGAACAGGGAGAGCCAGGTGAAATGAAGATGAGACAGGACTAAACAGGTGACTTATAGGAACCTCCTGAGGAGCCCAGACTCTGTTCTCTAAGACCACAGTGGCCAGGGTCCATTTCTCCCATAAAACACACCTTTAATATTGGAAGCAACCACATATCAGATGGTAGGCTCTTAATCAAGCTGACCTACAACCAGTGGAACAGGCCTATTCCCTGGCCTCAGGGGTGGATATTGGCCAATCTCCATAAGTACTGGGTCGTTCTGGCCTCAAGGTCTAAGCTAAAGCTATTGGGGATGAGAATTGGAGGAAAAGACCTTTAGGACAAAAGAGAGGATATAATTCCTGCTTTATAATTCCATTTATAAAGATGTGCTAGAACAGGACTTGGCAAACTTCCTGAAAAGTGACAGAGCAAATATCTTAGGTTTTGCAGGCCATCCATATGGTGTCTGTCTTAACTACCCAACTTTGCCCTCATTGCCTGAAATGTATAAATATCAAAATTACTTAACCAATTTTTGTTGTGTTCTTCAGAATAGCTTATATAGTACATGAGAAGTCTTCAATAAATGTAATCTATTATTAAAGTTGCCCAATTAAAAAATAAGCTGTAGAGTAGTAGGGATATTCTCAACTCCTGGGCCTAGGCAGATATTTTTCCAAAAAGTTACACTGCCTGTCAATATCAGAATTTTCCGGCGTATAAGACCACCCCTTAATTTTACAGTTAAAACATAGGTTTAGGCCTGTATAAGACTACCCCCCCACTTCAAAGAAAAGACTTACTTTACCGTCAAGATCTGCAGGTAATTTTTGTGCAATTTTGGTCTTTTGCCCCTGATTTTCGGTTGACTTTTTTTCGTTTCAAAAGTCGTCTTATACTCCGGAAAATACAGTACTTCTAATATGCAAATCAAATCATTACTATGCCTTTTTAAATGTATAAATATCAAAATTACTTAACCAATTTTTATTACTAGGAGTTAGAAAGGAAAAAATATATAATAGAAATCTTTAATGTAAAAAAAGACTCAATAAATTGTGATCTAAAACATTTTACTGTGTAAAAAGTCATATAAGACTTTCTTATTCTATGTATTTAACTACACTATATCTGTGTGTATATATAATATATATTCTTTATTGTTGACAGTATTACAGATGTCCCCCATTTTCTCAACCGTTGCCCCCTCCTCCCAGTCCTTGCCCTATGTCAGGCCTTCACCACACTATTGATGTATTTAATTTTGAATAATAACAGTTTTTACCAGTTTTAATTCTTCCAAAACATACTGTATTGTTCTGAACTTTCTTTTGCATAAAGGTATTGTCTATTCTAGTCTTAATCTAGTCTTTTAATTTATCTATAATGCCTTTATGATAATCTATAATAATAAAAGCATAATATGCTAATTAGACCAGACAACCTTCCAGATGAAGCTAGGGCTTCAAGAGAAGCCTGGGTCCTGAGTGCCTGCCAGCAGCCAGAGGGAAGCCCAGGTCCCAGGTGTCAGATGGAAGCTGGTGCTGCAGTTGGGGGGAAGGAAGGCCTACTCTTGCTTGAATTTCATGCATCGGGCTTCTAGTATTTCATTAAAAGCACAAAAGCATTCATCTTCATACAAATGATTTAAATATAGCTACAAATTTTTAAAGAATGACTTATGCCTTTATCATTTATATCTAATAAATGATAAAAATGTGAAACATAAAAATATTACTTGATACTTTGTTACCAAACCATTTTTTTTGTATGCTATTATTAGTGATCACTAATGGAGTATTTTTTTTAAATATGTGAGCTCAGTGGTCAGAGACAGTGTGTGGCAAATTGTCAAAACCTTTGCATCTGCTTTGACATGACAATTCATTTTTGACATATGAATTTAAAATATAAATGTTAATCCAATAGTGAAAGAGTGACTTAAAACTGATTTTTAACTTGCTAATCTGTGTCAGACTTGAATTTGAGTAACTAATTAAAATAACTGTTTTTTTCTTCTTTAGTGTTTTGGACAAACAATATAAAACAAATAATATACAATATACTAACATTATTGCTACATGTTCCTACAGATGAAAATGATAATATTGAGATAGATACTAACGAGGAGATTCCTGAAGGCTTTGTTGTAGGAGATGGAGATGAACTTACTAACTTAGAAAATGACCTTGATATTCCTGGTAATTTCAAATTATAAATATTTTGTGTCCTGCTGCATGGCAAATTTTATTATTATATTTTTATTATTACCTCATTAATTGTGATAATAAGTTCTTTTTGTAGTTTTATTACTTCTTATGTCCTCATAAATCATTTCACTAAATCCACCTTCCATCAATTTTGTTATTATTTTGTTTTAGATTTAGTTTAAATTAGCAATAAAATTGGAATAGCAAATTGAAGCTTGTGTTCTTTTCTTACTAAGATTCGCTTTTTCAAATTTAAAAAAAATTATTGATTGATTTGAGAGAAAAACAGAAAAACATCAATTTATTGTCCACCCATCCATGCATTCATTGGTTGCTTCTTGTATGTGCCCTGACCAGAGATTGAACCCACAACATTGGCATATTGGGACAATGCTGTAACCAACTGACCTAACCAGCCAGGACTAAGACTCACTTTTATATTTTATGTTATATGATATAATTTGTAGGCTATTCAATAATTGGTTCCCTTCTTAGCCTAAGTATTTTGGTATAGTGTTGTAAGGTATAGATGTAGTACCTATGAAATATTTCAAATGTAAATCAGATTTTCTGACTTGGTTAGAATTGAGTGTCTTAATTATAATATTATATTGCAGATTTTGTGCTTTATTCTTTTTTTAGTTTTTTATTTTAAATATTACTTCTAATAAATTAATTTATGCATACTTAATTACAACAAGACATTTTATTTGAAAACTGCTTATAGATATAAACTGCTATTGAGTTAATCACATATCTTATATTAGTAAATATTATACCAATATCACATTGGTAATTGACCTTTTAAGTTACTTTTTAAATATAAACATACTTGTGGTTTAATAGATGATTGGTTCATGTAAGTCAATAGCAAATAGCTATACAAGGTTTTATATACCAGAGGGGTTCTATAAATGCTTATTGAATTGAATTCTTATAGCAATAAAAAGTCTTTAGTTATTTTTCCAGATTTAAAGGTAAGGAATTAAAGTCCTTAATATTTTTCTTTTCCTATAAAAAGCTAAAGGGAGTGAGAGCAGGTCTCCTAGCACTGACATGCCCCTGAAATACTAACCTGCTTTGTTTCTTCCTCTGAAATAATTCTGTTATTTCTCCAGAAACAATCAACCAAGGTCTTCTTATCTATACGGAGCACCTAATAAAAGTTACTGCCCTTTGGTCAGTAACTCCTTCATGGTGTAATATTAAATTACCTTCTACCAGGTAGAGGTTGTGCATAATTGTGGAAGTCCAGGAAAATGCTGATATTTAAGGAAAATTTTTAAGTGTTTATTCTAAAATTAGGACTGTCTTTAATTTCTTTCTATTTAAAATACTGTAGAACTTGGGCAAATTTGATTTTTCTTTTTGCTTACCCAGCCTCACCACAACCACAACCAACAGCTTTATCAGAAACAAGCAACAACCCTTTCCTGCTGAGGATACCCATAAGTACAGAATTGAAACCTTAATAGTCAATTTATGGAAGTATAGGACCAATGACAATAAGGAATGCACATTTCTTCATTTTACAATAGAGGATGAAGATAGGAAAAATTAGTTATTGCTTAGGTAACATGAAGGAAATTATCTAGTTTTAATTATAACAACTTTGTGGGATACTTTAAAGTTTGGCTAACATTAGGTCTAATAGGCTTAACTCTTGTCCTTTTTAAAAATTCTCTTCTTACTTTATGCCAAAAAATAAAACCCATCTCAGCCTTCCTGTTTGTAAAGTTAGCTAATATATTGTTTACAACTCTCAAGAATGCCAGAAAGTGTTGGCATGTGCATAGGACAGACTTTCCAAATCAGGCAATGGTTTATTTCAAGGTAATAAGAAATAGGAATGCAGATTGGAATCTGGAGGCACATAGAATATATTATGATTTTTATCCTTGCTTTATTTTCCCCAAAATTCTTTTTTTAATATGTATATAAAAGTCATAATGTTTTAATAATAAATTGTTTAATCTTTATCTTGATTTGACCATAGTTCATCAGATATTGTTTAAAAGAGAAGCCTAGCAATATAAACTAACCAATTTGCATGAGAGTAATGATAATAGCATTTATTAAGAGTCTTATAATTAGAAAACTTACTAATCTTTATGAAAAATATCATTTACCAAATGGTTGGCATATCTTTTACAAGCATTTTATTAAATAGTTGCTTTGAGTGAATTTAAGTAGAATTATTTTATTCTATTTGCTTCTATTCTATTATTAAAAATTAATGGACTTGCTAAAAATAATTTGAAATGGTTAATTTTAAAGTTATAGCCATATTTTTATTTATTTTAAATTTCTTTTCATATTTAATATGTTTTAAATTTTTATCACCTTTATTGTATGTGTGCCCTCCCATTAGAAGGTATTTGTAAGCATAGACCCTGTTTCAATGTTTTATACACACACACACACACACACACACACACACACACATACACAAACATTGAGTTCTAACAGTGTTTACATGACTGTCTGAGATGTTAAGAACTTATTTTAATATGGTAGTATATGTATAAATTTAATATACTGGCAGAATTTGAAACTCTAAAAATATAACTTAGAATCAAATGAATCACCTTTAAAAATCTATTTTAAAATTACTTGTTTTATTAAATCTAACCTACTCATATAAATATATACCTCAAATATAGGCTTATGTTTTCAGATAAGCATAGCTACTGTTAAATATAGTCTAACTGAATTATCTTTAGGTATATTGACTGTATTCTTTAAAGGGACTGATTTTTGGGGGAAATATATATGTTTATACATACACTAATAATATACACTAAGAGACTAAATTTTAATTGCTCCTACCACAAAAAATAAATGACAATTATCTGATGTGATAATAGGTATTAACTAATGCTGGGGTGGACATCATTTTGTAATATATAAATTCATCAAGTCAAAACATTGTATACTTTAAACTTATAAAATGTTATATGTCTGTTATATCTCAATTAAAAATGATTATAATCAACATACCCAATGACTACTTTACATATATATGAAAAGAATTCTGTATATGTCTGGATTGATGTGTTATTATACAATCCTAATGTCCTTTTTTTTAAAATGTAGTAATATTTTTATGGTGTGTTCTAAATTGGTAGCCTATACACCTAAATGCGTCTTACTTAGTAATTCTTTGTATTTGCATATTTAACAGAACAAAAGACTAAGTTGGTGGACTTGAAGCTGAAGAAGCTCCTAGAAGTTCAGCCACAGGTGGCAAATTCACTTTCCAGTGCTTCTCAGAAAGTTATAACTGAGAGCTCAGAGCAAAACATTAAGGTAAATCTTACTTGCTTAGTTATCTATGTATTCTAATTTCCACTAGCATTATGTAATCCTAAAACCAATTTCTTATCAATTCTTCACATTAAGATTAAGATATACAAATTTTTAATAGATAGCCAATAAATTAAATACCAATATGGTAATCATTATTTATCTACTTTTTTCAGAGAAACTACTCTGATGCTGGTTAAAGAAACTGTTTTTGACTTTTATATGTATTTCTATTTTTCTAAGAAGAATATTGCTAAGAGAATTCTAACATTTTTATATCATCCTCAAACTTTGACTTGTTTAGATAAACTAAAACTCATGTCAGTTAATACCTGAATATGGTGTGTTAAAGAATATAAATTTTTATAAACTTGCATGTGTTTTGTATCCATACAAATTTTACCTTTTTTAGGATCTCAGCCAAAATGCCACATTATTATAATTATATTATTATTATTATTATTATTATTCCCATTCAAGCCTTCCCCCCTTTTTTGTACTGTATCATTTATATTTTTCTAGCTTTAGGGTACTTCTAGCCCTGTATAACTTTTCACCCACCTGCGGACTTCGGGGACTGCCCGCTGACTGAAAGGATTTCCTTCCCCTGACCCAGAGATGCTTTGAAGTCCCAAAACAATGACTTTCATTGCTTTTTCCTTATACTGTCGGTTTCTATAAATTGGTGATGAAAGTGTGTGGCAGCACCAGAGGACTTTTGGTCTCTATCTTTGAACAAAAGGAAGCCTGGATCAGGTCTGATTTTTTGCGTTCAATTTAGCTTTCTGCAGTGGACTTAATGCAGAATGAAGCTGGCCTAAGAATAATACAATGGATTGAAAAGACTAACTGAATTAGTGGGTTTAGAGGAATACATTTGTAAAGTGGCAGAAGTCCCCAGCCATAAAAAGGTTTCTTAAGATGGGATTTGCTGGCTAATCTCACTGATATTTTAGCATGTTGCTATTAGCCATGTTTATTTATTTTGGTAAAGACTTGAGTTTTAGACTTTTGGGCAGTTGTTATAATAACTGTTGAATACATACCGGTACTTGTTTTTCCTTTTTATTGCATTTATTGGGGTGGCAGTGGTTAACAAAATTATACAGATTGCAGGTGCATAATTCCACCACATATCATCAGTACAGTGTATTGTGTATTCACTACCCTAAGTCAAGTCCCCCTCCATCACCATTTATCCCCCTATAAACTCTCCTACCTCCCACCCACCCTCTCCTCGGCAGTTACTACACTGTGGTCCATGTCCATGACTTTTTCTTCCTCGGGTTTTGTGGGGGTTTTTTTCTCTCAATCCCTCCACACTTTTCTAAACAAACAAACCTAGCTAGCATATTAATAAATATATAACTTTAAAAATAAATAGAGCTATTTTTATTATTAAGCCTTAATTATTTAAGTAGATTAAACTGGCTTTGCTTTCCAATAAACTCTTGTAAAGTAGTCTTTAAAGTTATTCCAATAAAAGGTGTGCTTTAAACAGCTTGTCTTTGTATGGATCTTTTTAGTTAAGATTTTTAAAAATGGTGCTTATAAAGAACTCCATCTGTTCTCTTGAAGCTTTCAGCATTGATTTGGGGTTTTATTTTTTTAATAAAATGCAGTTTACACGTTCATAAATGAGGCATTCTGTGTTTGTGGAAAAGGATAAACTGTTACCTTCCCTTGAGGATTCTGTATCCCAGGCCTCCTTGAGGCTAGAGAATAGGCCATTGGAGGACTCCCTCATTACCGATTGTCTCAATGCAGAGGAAGGGCAAAGTCTTGGTAGCTTTTGATAACCAGTTTCAGCATTCAGCAGGCTTAGCTATTAGTCATGCATCTTAGCCTTTCCCTATTTACTTTCAAAACACTTAATAAAAATAATAAAAGATTAGGTATAAAATGAAATATTTGTTTGGTACACAGCACCTCGGTATCTGCAGCTTCCACACATCGCGGTGGTTCAGTCTTCTGGGATATTTCTTGTTGACAGAACCATTTGAATTTGTTGCCAGTATTAACATAGGAAGCTCTAGAAAAGATAATTGTAGTTTCCTTCGCTGCAAAGGGCTTACTTACCAATCTGGCTTTGGAAAGTTATAGTGAGGTAGTGTTAAAATCCTACCTTTTAGCCTTCATCCAGCATTAATAGTTTACCTCAATGGGCATAAAATTAGAAACTAGTTCTTCTTGTCATACGAGTCTGTGGGGCTGTACAAACCCATGGGCCAGAATAGTGGGGGGGATAGACAGAGGCAACATGGCCTTTAAATTATACATATCATCAGAAGGAAACTCAGGCATTCACAGCGTCTGATGAATCAAATTAGCAAGAGTGAGCCTCTATTTAAACCAGGTCTCCTGTAAGCTTTTGGTTACAGGTAACAGAACTTGCAGTTGAGTTATTTAGTGCTCTTTAAAATACTTTTCTTTCAAAAAGTTTCTAAATTAACATTATCTTAAATCAGTAAAAATTATTTTACTGATACGCAGTTCCATGTTTATAATATCAGGACTCTCTTATTGTGTTTGTTTTACTTTTAGAATGGCACAGAAGATCTCCGGGCTGAGCAATTACAAAAAGCGACAGAAAGATTTAGAAATCCTGTTGTGTTCAGCAAGGATTCTACAGTCAGAAAAACTCAACTTCAGTCTTTCAGTCAATATGTTGAGAATAGACCAGGTAGGTATACTTTTTTTTCAATGTTTTCCCATCTTATGATTTAACATTATTTAGCTGTGTATACATATATGTTAAAAAGCTGATACTGTAAATTCACATTTCAATACACAAATATCAAGCTTTATAATAATTTAACATGTCTTTACTTTTTTTTAAGATATAAAAAGACAGAGATCAATACAGGAAGATACAAAGAAAGGAAATGAGGAGAAGGCAGCGATAACTGAAACTCAGAGGAAGCCATCAGAAGATGAAGTGCTTAATGTATATTAATTTTTTGTGTGGTTTCATGATTGCTGATAATTCCAAACTGTATGTGGAAATAGTGCCTTTATTTGTTAAAATGAGATGTTAGGTTTTTTAAGATGTCAATCTCCAGTGCATTCAAAGCAGAGTGAGAGGGGTGCACTGTTGAATTAGTCTGCAGTGTGGTGATAATTGTCAGATAAAAAAAAAATGAATTTTTCAGAGTTCCACAGCCCCAGCTTCCTTGAGACATTTCCATCAGGGCACTTCCCACAAAGAGATTCCAGTATTGATCTACCGGGAGGATTTTAATTATTACAATAGCAGATACCGCAGAGCTGCAGTTAGAGAGAAAAGTCACATGAGACCTGCTAGAATTTCTCAGCCAACCCATTTTGTTGGCTTGGGTTAATGGGTGTTCAACCTTTCCATTATCCAGATCAGCCGTGAATTACTAGCTGAATGATGTTTGCATTAATATAATATATATGGTAATTTCTTCACTTAATTAACAGGGAGGTTCAGCTCAGTAGGGGTATGGGCTGATCATGTGTAAAATTGATTTGTGAGGGAAATATTTGATAGACCGCAGGGAAAAAGCTGCTTTTGATGGACAGCTTTAGGACAGAAGCAGGAAGAACAAGTTTTAACTTGAATTTTTGTCTGGAAGCATAGCTCTCTTTAACGATACTCCTTTTTTATGTGTAAATGTTTTTATTGTTTTAATATTAAAATAGTCTTTGTTGGTTTTTAAAATACTTACAATGTACCCAGAATTACCAACTACATTTATGGCCCTAAAGAACTTCTTATTTTAAGCTGTGGAACTAAGACCCTAGTACATAGGACAGCTCACTGGGATATCCTGATGAAATATTCAGTATAATTTTTTAAGTTACAGAATATGTGAGGATACTGTATACTCACACTAAAGAAATCTGATTATAAACTGTTTTTAAGTGAATTAATCAGTAAAGGCAATGAAGTTTTATGTGTTGCTTATCACTTCTGCTTTCTTATATCTTTGCAAACCACTATGTGTGTTTTGACCCTCTGGATGAAATGAAAAAGTTGATTTTGAAAATGCTCAGCTGTTTGGAAGATAGGTACAAAACCCATTCACCAGATTATTCCCGGATTTTGAAGTTACCATTAGCATTTCTTCTGTTGTTATAATATTTTCTGTTATATTTCATGTTGAGAAAGAATGCTATCTCTTTTGTGTGAATCTTTTAAAAAATACAGTGACTTATTTAATCACACTATCCGGAGAAATTACCAGCTTTATAATTTCTTAAAATATTTCAACTTTGTCAACTACCATAATCAGTTTAACAGTAAGGTGATATTAATTGAGTTAATATGTGAGTACAAATTATTTAGTACTTCTAAAGATATGTAAGTTATACATATGGCTAGACATGTTTATTGAACTTGAGAATTCTAAAATACGGTCATAAATAACATTTCTTGATATTTGTTTCTTATTTAAGGAGAACCGAAGGATAATTCCTCATGGCTTCTTAGAGATTAATATGCTTCTAAGTAGGGAAGGGATTTGACAACAGAGGATTGTTCGCTTTCGTTTCTCTGAATAAGTAATGTTGTAAGTGCTGGTAGTAGTAGTGATGGTGCTGAGAGTAATCACTTAAGCAGTTCTTCAGCATTTCTCAGCTACCCAGGAAACATAGTCCTAAAAGTGCCCCAAGGTAAACAGTATTCCAAATCCAAAGGGAACAATAATGAATCTATTTGTAACTTTCCTGTCCCTCATTATTTAAATTTACATGAAAATAAGAATTTACTATACTGCTACTTCATAATAGAACTGTTACTTCAAATAAAACTTCCTGAGGATAATATTTTTTAACATGATGGTTGTAAAAAGTAAAATTTCAAATTTAATCAAATGGAAAGTAAACCAAATCTGCATACTAGTTGCATTAGATCCTATGTAGCAAAGTCTGAGACCACCTGTCACGTTAGAAGTCACAGCTACAGTAATTAGTAATACATCAGCAGAATGACATGTTAAAGTACAGGCGCCAGCGGAGGGAATACTGGAAATATTAAAAACGAAACTTCTGTTTTTATCACTTTAAATAGTGTACCCATAATGAAAATAAGAAACCTCTCTTTAATTTTATATTTTTTTGTAAGAACAAATCTGCCTAATTTTTTCAGGATAGATGCTTTAAGAAACAATTCTTTAGTAAAACTCCAGTTTTGCGAATTACAGTCTTGAATTAAAGGTGTCATTGGTGTTTGTTTTGGCAATCACCATGGGGAAAATAGTCTTCTCTCCTCGTTCCTGCTTAAATAGCTGACTCAACTGTGAGGAGAATTTTTTCTAAGTTAGTGTTAACTTTTTAAATCTGGCAAATCTGGGTATTAAATTATAAATGTATTACTAAATGGTTGAGATTTTCTCTATTCACAAAAGTTTTGTTATACATATGAAAATTCTGTGATTCACAGGGAGTTGCTTTTTGGTACTAAGGGTGATAGTAAGGGTATATTTGGTTCTCTAGGTAAGTGCTTTACTAAGTGTTTATAGAAAGGAAAAATGCAACTTACAAGTGATTTTATTTTTTCTCCCTGTTTGTTCTCGTTAACAGAAAGGGTTCAAAGACACCAGTCAGTATGTTGTAGGAGAGTTGGCAGCACTAGAGAATGAGCAAAAGCAAATTGACACCCGTGCCGCGCTGGTGGAGAAGCGCCTCCGCTATCTCATGGACACAGGTACGGTGCCCAATTACACTGTAAACAGTTTTGGCAAATTGAGCGTTCACAAACTCTTATAGAGTTTTGGAAGTGTGAATCTTTGAAGCCTGAATGTTCAGCAGAACTGCCTTGAAAATAAAAAGGCTGCGATTTGCAGCCACCTCTCTGGGCCCTGGTGATAAGAGTGCCTTCATGGGAAGTGATAACTCGCCCTGATACCGTGTGAGCCAGCACTATTGAACAGTGTGCTCATCCATGCAGAGTTGGAATACACATCTGTGCCTCATTGATATGCCACTGCTTTAAAAAAAAAAAAAAAAAAAAAAGTAAGATCTTCACTGTTCTACTGATTCATTGGGGGGAAAAAAAGATTTGGGCAGCTAAAGCCATGTACTGCATGAAACAGAGCACTGTGCATAGGGGATGGCTCCATGGGCTAGATCACTGAAATTTGAGAATACTATCTGGTTACTGACGCTCCACAATATTTTTTTTTTCCAAGAGAACAGGTTTTTAAAAGTCTGTAATACTTTGTGTCACAGTTGCATTTGGAAGGATTAAGGTATATAGGAAGGTTTATACAAATGGGTTAGAGCAGCAAGTTAGCCCCTAACCAGAGGGTAGATTGGCATTTGGTGCTGATTGCCAGTAGTGATTGAGTACTTGTAAGTACACAATAAGCTATTGGGGAAAAAACAGTATGTGTGTCTACATACACATATTTCTCTAAAATGCTGTTTCTACATAGGGATAAAAATAAATAAATTCAAATCATACCAATTAGAAAAAATTTGTCAAAATATAAAAGTAGAAAATTTATTCCTTTAATCAAATTAATTGATTTAATGGCAGTGTCAAAATAGATTAATAAAGTAGTGAAGTAAATTAGTCAATTTGTAGTAATAGGATTGGAAAACTTTCCTGAAATTTTTCTTCTCTATTTGCCAAGATTATATTTACAATTAAAGAACTCCTCCAAAAAAGTTAGATAGGACATTTGAAAATTAGTAAAGTCAGCACATGGTAGAACAGAAAGAGACTTTTGGCTTTATCTGGCCCATTGGGTTTCATACATGTTCGGTGGAGCCCTAAAGCTTCTTCGGAGGCACCTGGGGGCTGCCGAGATAATAAGGCAGCGAAATCAGACAGGCCTCTGGGTTTCTTACCTTACTTCAAACAGAATAGCTCTGAGTTTATTTATTTGAAATAGCAGGCTTCTTGGAAGAGTTCATTTAAAGAAAAGGTTCTGCCCAGCTGGCATGGTTCAGTGGTTGAGCGTCGACCTATGGTTCGATTGGGCACACGTGATTCCCACGCATGATTCCCAGTGGGGAGCATGCAGGAGGCAGTCAATCAATGATTCTCTCTCGTCATTGATGTTTCTATCTCTCCCTCTCCCTGCCTCTCTAAAATCAATAAAAATATTTTTTTAAAAAAATAAAAGATTCTACTGCTTAAAGTTTAAAACCAAAAAAACTTAAGAAATTCTTTTTTGGAAACTATTACCTAATCCTCTCATTGTACAGAGGAGACAGAGGCACAGGAAAAGCTCAACATCACATAGATGAGTAAGTGGCCAATCTTGGACTAGAATTACATTCGTGAAGGATCCTATCATGCAGTATCCTTCCTTCTACACCAGAACACATTTACCATGGCCCTAACAAATTACCTGTATAATCAGTCTTATAAATACACATTTGTTTGGATTCAACAGATATCCCATAAACCAACATATTTCACATTTGCATTTTCCCTATATAAAAATGTAAACTAGGTAGTATAATTTCTGTAATATTTTTTAAATTATTGCCATTAAATATTTTAAGGAGACTAATTTTTTAAGGTAAATTCTTTCAAGTGAACCATCTTTCCTTTTTGTAGTGAGTAAAGTAGATGTCACTATACAGGAAGCCTTGTGGCACTAGAAAATGTTTCCTTCTCTTCGTTCACACTTTAAGCCTGATTTATTGAGGGTTCTAACCAAAAGAGACTCAAGTTCTCCTTCCCATTCCACATATTACTAGTGAAGCTTTGAAGTGGTTCTATTCTAACTCCAGATCATTTATAATCTAAAAGTTATGGAGTACAGATTGATTCTAGAACTCTTGCAAGGCTTTATATTTCTTACTCTGCAGAACAGAGTCTGATCTAGCCTGGGTTCACTACTATAGATTCACACTGAAATTGACCTGGTTCCCCAATCTGATATGCTCCAAGAATTACCCTGGACTGCCTTGAACCTCCTCCAGCCCTCATAATGGTTTTCTGATGTTTTCTAAATCCTACCTAGTATCTAAAGTAAGAAATAAGACATTAGAAAGAGAAAGCATGTATTTATCCTTTTCTTTGGGGAGAAGAGGGGCTTAATAGTTCCAACTTTTCATTTATTGTAGTAGTTAATACCTTTTCTCTGGTATGTTAAAGTTGTCTATGTACTTTCTGAATCTTAGTCTTAGAATTAAATAGAGAAGATAGTATCCGTATTATTTTCATAAAGAAACTGTAGCTCAGATGGGAGAAATGACTCATTTAAGATGGACTGATTAGTTACGTTTGAATTAGGGCTTGAGCCCAAGTTTTTAGGTTTTCTAGCTCCAAATCAATCCTCTTCCCCTCCATATCTTTACAGAACAAATGTACTTTATCTACTATTTTACTTTTTATATACTTGCAGATGCTAACTATATACAATTTTTAATTGATTTGAAGTTAACATATCATAAATTAACCATTTTAAAGCATACAGTTCAGTAGCATTTAGTAGATGCATAATGTTGTACAATCACCACCACTATTTCCAAAGTTTTTTCCTCACCTAAGCAGAAACTCATAAGGGGAATCTAGCAGTAGTAGTCCTTAGTGTCTGGCTTCTTTCACTTAATATGATTTTAAGGTTCATCCATGTTGGAATATGTACCACTACTTTATTCCTTTTAATGGTTAAATAATATACCACATTTTATGTATTTATTCATTCATTGAGAGACACTTGGATTCTCACTTCCTGGCTACCTATCAACATTTGTGTACAAGCATCTCTTTGAATCTTTGTTTTTACTTCTTTGGGATATATACCTAGAGTTGGAGTCACTAAGTCATGTTTATTCTCTATCTTACTTTTTGAGAACTATGCTCAATTTTAAATGGAGTGGGAAGTACATTTAGAAGTTGACTTTGTGGGATTGAGACTACATTTTCAAAAAAAAGCACTGTTAAAACCATCTACAGCCCCAACAAACTCACAAAAACTTATTTATTTAAGTTATAACTAAAATAACACAAACATTTGTCCTAGATTTGAGTCCTTGATTCTCAGAGCTTGAGCAACTATGGGTTTTCAGCGCCAGCCCCTGTGAAATTGAAGCTCTAGCATCCTGACAGGTTAGGTGGAGCTTGATGGTGGCCTAGACTACTGGGCATTTCTTCTGGTAGGCTGGAGCAGGCTCCTCCTGCAAGAAAGGAGCAAAGGGATGTAAGAGAGAACCTCAGTGTCCAGCCATAAGATGGCCATGTGCAAAGGATGAAATGGCATAGAGGAAGAAGGGCTCAAGGTATCCCAACATCCATTTGGGGAAATAGCATCAGTGGCCGAGACAGAGCAGCTGTGGGGATTTATATTTCTGAACTTGAGTAACCTTAAATCAGTGATCCTCTGCATATTAAATAACAATACTGTGTGTGTGTGTGTGTGTGTGTGTGTGTGTGTGTGTGTGTGTATTTCTGCCATTCCACCTTGGGATCTGTAAAATCCTTATGTAAGCACTAGATAAATTATTTCCATCAGCTTTTAATGGACTTTTATTTTGTTATTGGTTTTGGGCTTTTTCTGTTTTTGTTTGTTTGATAATTGTTGCAGGGGATGAATTTTTACTTTTCCAGCATCTAAAGTTTGTAATGGTTACTTCTTTGGCTACAGTAAAACTTAGTTAGGAACTTACGTGTGTTCTAAGCTGACATTTTGTATTAAGTATGGCGCTAATGGATTCTTACCTTGAAAAAATGGAGTTTAGAACAAAAATGTTGATGGGCCCTTTTTACCAAAGTGCTGCAAATAATATTACTATAGTGGATGGTGTCTATTTTTCATTCCCTATCTGTTTTCATTTGATGGTTATAAAACTTTCTTAGTATAGAACTGTGTTTTAAACTAATTATTTGTTTTTGTTGTTGTTTTTAAGTGACATATTTACATTTTGAATGCATAATTAGACATGGGGTATTACAATAAAAGTGTTTCTTACAACTTCAGAATATTCAAACAGATAAAAATAATTGTGATAACTTTATAAGACCCTGGGCCAAAAATACTAATTCTTTTGTAGTGGATAGTCTACAAAAAACAAACTAACCATTCAAAAGTATTAAATATACCTTGAGAAAATAAGAATTAATGAAAACAAAATAACTTTTCTACCCAGTCATCAGAATGTTTCTTTACCTCATCATTTGAGGAATACAGCATAGTTTTAAAACAGAGAATTGTGCCTACAAAGTTTTTGAGTTGTAAAAATAACAGTAACAGTCAATATTTATTGTGTATATATCTGGCTCTATGGAAACTGTTTTAAATGCATCATTTCCTTCTCACAATGGCCTTATGTGATAGATTCCATTACTAATTGGGACTATTAATAATCACAGTTTTCAGTGAGGAAACTGAAGCTCAGAGAAGGAAGTAACTTGCCCAATTCACACAGTTCTCAAGTAGTAACTTGCTCAGTCTGATGGTTCTGGAACACAACTTCCAGCTACCACATGACATGATCTCTGCTTCATCTCTCAATGTTTTTAGAGGTGAACTCCTTTTCCTAGAGTCTTATTACTAATTTGAGGCACGGTGCACGAATTCTCAGGGGTGGGGTCCCTCGGGGTGGCCTGCAGAGTTTGGGCCCCAGCCTCACAGCCCCTCTTGGCACCCCTTCCTCCCTCCCACCCTCACCCCCCACAGTGGCCTGGCACCACCCCCTCACATGCTCCACTATCCCGCCTGCAGGGCAATTGATCGGGACCTCGCC